ATAACATCATACATTTATATATATTTATTATTTTTATTATACTGACCTTTCAACCATGCCTGGCTAACAATACAAAAGTTACAATGACGCAGCATGTGCTCTCATGTCACCGTATCAAATATTATAAAACTGACCTTTGGTCTTTACAAAGTGACCTGTCTTGGCTGTGTTTTAGTAGACAAGTATTTTGTAAAATACAGTCACATTTCCATTATTATATATTATAAATATATATAGATTATTACTATTTAGAAATAAGCTCTTAAACTTAATTTTCTTAGAACATAGATCAGTAAATAAAGAAGTAAAGCAAACAATTATCTCTTTTTGTTACAACCTTTGTACTCAGTTGCTGCTTGTCATAGGTTGCTAAGCCTTTTAAAATTTCGCACGTGGAGGATATGAAACGATATGATTTTTTAAAGTTTTATATATACAGTAGAATAACGAAAAAATCATAAATTACTATATCGATACCATAGAATTCCACAATAATTTATCAAGCTTAGTAACTAAAATGTATTTGGGTCTAAAAAAAAATATTACATTTTGAGCAGAATAAAGACTCAACCTACCTCCTTGAAATTTTGGTTCAAAAGAAAGATATGGCTGAGAAAGCCACTAGGGGACATTCTGAGCTTTTGAATGGTTATTCACATGTCATATATTGAAGTAAGTGTATAAAAGGGACCATTTCCAAAAATGGAAAGGGGTGAGTGGGGTGCCACTGTGTTTAATTTAGTACGAGTGATATCTCGGGAAATAGAAAAGATAGGAGGTTCTTATTTTATATTCTAGTTTGTTAATATCAGTAATTTGAGTTCCTAATTTGTACAAAATTATAGACTAAGTATTTTGACTTCACAAACATCTAATTTGAACCAGTGCTGCATTCAACATACCATGTGACACACAAAAATTGAAGTTTAACTGTAAGTAATACTTACTTTAGAATTAAGAAATTAAATAATCTATAATACTAAAATTTGAATTATAATCTACAGTTTGATACCAAATTTATTGGCATAAATTCATGAAATAGTAGTTCAATAAAATTTTGAATATGAGTCAACAAATGCGATGACATGGCCTTTGACCGGTGACTTGTCTTGAGAGGGTTAATGAATTTTTATTAAATATAAAAACAACTATTCTATTAAATTGCTTTAATCTATCTCAAATTCCACATCTAAATGATGCACAAAACAACTAAAGCTCTTAAAGCTGCTAGAAATATTTTTGGTTATGTTGGAATCTGTATCAGTGTATGTGTAAAATAACTCATACCAACGTAAAAAGCAAAAATGTAGGTCACAATAACTTTATCCTAATTAAAAAACTGATTTCATACACAAACCAATCATAATATAATAAAAGGTTATCTTTCTTTTAAATTATCATAAAACAAGGAATTGCTTAAAAACTAAATAAATCCTGAAAAAGTCTACCTGTCTCAATTAAAAGTACCTTTTACTTTATACCTACAGTATACTAACTGGTCATTTACTGGAACCCACTAATACACATTTTTGGAATAACTGATTTATTTACAGAAATGAATAAAAACCCTATAACCTGAGCACTTTTGAAAGGTGGACCTTTCGTCTTCAGTTTGCTCCTGAAGAAGAAAGATCCACCTTTCAAAAGTACACGGGTTATAAGGTATTTATTCATTTCTATCAAGACTTTTTGAACCTACGAGTTTTTCTAACATTATGATTTATTTACATATACCAAACAGATTGCATATATTTTCTGGAGTACATGTACTCACAGCAATTATATAACAGAAGTAAAAAAAAGTACTAGCTTTTCATAATAAATGACATTATTTTATTAACTTGCTGAGTTATAATGAATATTAAAAACATCTTTAATACAGATGTTTCGGAATTTCCTTAAATACCAACGTCAGTGTTAACACCTAAAAAAAAGTTAGTCCATAATATTTGAACTACAAAAGACGACATTACATAGCCGCCAACCTTTTCTAAACCTGATGGGGGGGGTTTAAACCCAAAATTTTTATATATTGTAAATGTAATGTTGCACCTATAAATGCAACATTTATCCTGCATGGCAGGATGATTATCATGACTCACTTGTAAATACTTGATTATGCATTCAGCAATTGGTGACTTACTGACATGCATACACAAAATCATTTTGTGTGTAAATATAATTGTACATATCCAGCTATGCCTCCATATCCTCATTTGTACCTGGATGGATCATACGATAATTATCAACCACATTATATCATTCGAAGATAGCCATTTACTGTCATTTTACTCTCACTATCTGTTCACGATAAGGTGAGCTCTTTCATTCTGTAGGTCAATTTTAAACTGTTATATGATTCTATATATGTAATTTTACAATGTAATGCACTGCCAGACCTGCCAAATTTTATGATTCTCTTTATATTTTATGTAAGTCAGCAGTTTTGGAAGAGTGTAAACAATGTATTTTTGTTTTTTCACTCCTAAGTTTGCCTGTGCTCTGTTCGTGTGTTTTTTCAATATACTATTACAACAGTGGTCGAAAACACTCCAAAACCACACCAGAAAACGTTATTGGCTAGACAATGTTAAGGAAAAGTGTAATGACTTATAAGTACCATGTATGATATTAAATCACAATTGATAATTACCACTATGAATATTATAGAATTTTTTAGCAATTTACCAACTTTACTATAGACCCAGAGTTCAAATATATACCTATTATAAGCATTAGTCCTACCAAATCATGTGTTGAACCC